ATTTTTACCAAAACTAATCAAATCTGCGCATTGGCCCAGAGCATCTATGCACCAAGTTTCATCAAAAACCGATGTATGGTTCTTGAGATAGCAGTGGAACAGTCGGACACACATACACACATACACACACACATCACACACACACACACACACATACAGACACACTAACTGCAAAGACTCCCATTTTGTGCTTCGCACATGGGAGTCAAAAATGTAGTCCCTCATCCCCTGGCTATGAATGTCATATTCCTGGGCTTCTCTAATGAATAACCTACCTAACTACTTGACTGAATTTGGCATTTTTGATACAAATCCATAATTTTTGGCATCAACGTTTTTTTTGCTTGGAATCGCAAAGCGATATCACTCAAGGATGCAGGTCAGTTGGATTGGATGGTTTATTTTGTTTTGAGTTTGTTGTGTGTCTAGAAAAACTGCAAAAATTGAACCTGGTTGACATTCTATAGTGATTGTATGAGTTATATACTTTAAAGGGGTTAATTATTCACTGGGTTTTAATTTTGCTGACTGAAATGGTAAATCAGCGAAATTTAAACCCAGCGAAAATTAGTCATTTTACAGTAACCAAGAGAAGATAATTTCACATTAAATTTAAACGATATCTTGAAAAATATGCATAAAACGAGGACAGACAATTTCCCCTCATATACATGTATCTTGGACGTGTATAGTAAAATGGTAACAATGACAATAATTACAAGGAAAATGACTGACATGCATAACAGTACGTTTCACATATGGACAAGCAGTGCTTTCAGTGTAAATATTACTTCACATAAACAAAAAAAATAGAAAGTTAACAAAGAGAACAGCAAATGAAATAAACAGACATATGTCCTGCATGTAGCAAACACAACATTTTTAGAACAAGGTACGTGTACAGGTTGACAGTGTATAGCCACAATAAAAGGTCAATTTAACCTATATGTATTAGTAAATACATTTTTCTGTTCTGTCAGTTTCAATTCTGATGTTTTTGACTAGTGCTTGTAAACATACAGTATCTTATTAATTTGCGCAAATAAAGAATAAACAGCAGGGCTAAATTTTGGAATAAAGTGACAGGCTTACATGTACCACTGACTTACTGTAAAAGCGTTTATTTTCACTATTTTAATGTTTTGAACGTATTCACTGTGTTTTAATTTCCTGAATTTGTCTAAGAAAGAATGAGTTTTATTGTTATTTTACATTTTCACATATATTTTACTTATCAGTGAAAATAGCAAATTAAAACCTAGTGAATTATTTATTTACGGTATGAAACCCCACTGAAGGATGAAATTCTGGAGACAAAACATGGTTAGTGTCACAGGGAAATGGACTATTGTGAAAGACATATTAATATACATGTAATGAAAGTAATTTCTCAACATGTAATTTCTTATTTGTTTCCTGACTTGGGTTTTGAAATACTGTAAAACATGTTGAAAAAGCGAAATGCAATTTTAGCGAATTGTGGTAAAATGACGTAATAGCGAAATGTTGATTTTAATAGCGAATCTCTCTTGTCATTGTTGATTTCTTTGTTTGGTGGCCATTTTGAATTTATAATAACGTCATTAGCGACATCTTGAATTAGCGAATCAGTTCTCTCGCTAAATTTGCAAAAAGACATGCTCGCGAAAAAGACATGTTTTACAGTATATATCTACATATATAGATATATAAGAAAGCATAAAGTGACCTTACCTTTAAGAAACAAGGAGATATAATGGTGGAGAATAAATGTACCATCTGTTAGATTGTCAGAAAGCAATATAAACTGTCCCTGAGTGAGCAGAATATACACAAATGGTAAACATGAGCATTATTATTATTTTTAACATATACAATGTACAAGTATTTGAAAACCACACTTAAGAGTTTGTCTGTAAAACAGAGAACATTAAATTTCACTTTAGTATAAGTTGAATTTTAGTTATTTAACAAGCAGCCTGTCGGCTGAGATAGCTCTGCTGTTAGCAATGCACATTGCAATTGAAGAACAGAAAATATCAATAAAAAATGAACCACATGTATAGTATCAAAGCAATCGGACTTGCT